CCACTTCCTTACATTTTTTTCAGTGGTTTGAAACACATTTTTAAAACTGCAGTTTTATATGAGGTTATGATCCAAATAGTGTGTTGATTGATCGGTGAAGTGTTGTGTGATAGCTGTTTGCTGTTTGTTTCAGGTGGGTTTCATGAACGATGGAAGGATCATGGCTGCAGATATCGAGTACTACATCAATGCTGGCAACACTGTCGATGAATCTGTTCTGGTTGGTAAAAGCACACTTTATATTTATGTTGTGTTCTTTAGGTGACATTTTGACAAGGAAAAGACAATTATTGATTTTCTTCTTCTTGCAGGTAGTAGAAAAGATTCTGCTTCACATTGACAACGCCTACAACGTCCCCAACCTGCAGGGCCGTGCTGCCGCCTGCAGGACCAACCTGCCCTCCAACACCGCCTTCAGAGGCTTCGGTGTGCCCCAGAGCATCATGGTCGTGGAGAACATGGTGAATGACGTGGCCATGGTGCTGGGACGCCCTGCAGACCAGGTCATACTCCGTCTTGTGGTGCCGTGTGCTTGATGCTGTTAAAAAATGACAAAAATCTTTCCAGTATAACGAATTCCTGTTTTGAAATTCTTCATCAGATTCGTGAGATCAACATGTACAAGGGGCCGTCAGTCACCCCCTACAAGTTTGAGTTCAGCCCAGAGAACATGCTGCGCTGCTGGGAGGAATGTAAGGTCAAGGCTGACTACAGCGCCCGCCACAGAGCTGTCGACCAGTTCAACCAGCAGAACCGCTGGAAGAAGAGGGGGATGTCGATCATCCCCATTAAATATGGAATTGCATTTGCAGAGAGCTTCTTAAATCAGGTCTTTCTCAGCTTGTTTTGATAAAGTTATTGTGGTTGTTGCAATATTTTCCCCACCAACCATGGTTTATATATCAGTATGCATGTTTGTAAGGATTATAGCACAAATGCAGCTTGAAATCTTTTCAGACAAGACTACTTTAAGATAGTAAGGATGTTAATGTTATTCTGCTTATTTAATGTATGTAGTGTAAAGTCACAAAAAGTGTAATTTTCCACAGAAACGTAACTATGTGTTGTTGATCTATGTAACAGGCTGCAGCTCTTGTCCACATCTATAAAGACGGCTCTGTTCTGGTCACTCATGGCGGGACGGAGATGGGTCAGGGAATCCACACTAAAATGCAACAGGTACTGTGACGAAGCAGCCATGTGTCCACTGGCCTCCACGGTACACCACAGGCTCTTAAACCTACTTTATCTGTGAATTAAAGCTCTATTTATTACCCACTGTTGGTTAGAAACATTCAAACATTCACAGACTGCTAGTAATGTAAACATTT